AAGTTAAGTAAGTAAGTAAGTATATATATATATATATATATATATATATATATATATATATATATATATATATATCATAGCTCATCACGCTGCAACATAAAGTCATTTAACTCAGGTTGCTCAGTTTCCCACTAATAATACTGGTAACATTAATGGCACAGTAAAAGAAAAGAACTGTCCTCTCTGTACCCTTACCTGGTTATTCTCTACACTTCATCGGGTACTTAGAAGGATGGCTACCTATGTTATGAGATCTCTTCAGAAATGCCAGTCCAATGGATCATCAGGCCAAATGGCCAAATAGCACATATGAGATTTCAATGGGCTTCACTTTACAGGTTTTCACTTTTCATTGGTTTCACAACATATCAACAGTGTAACAGCTTTCTTATTACAAACAAATGCCTTGGTATACTATATAAGTAATCACTGATAAAGAGAATGAGAAGTGATTGGGCTACAGCTGCAGCCAGGGAAATTGAAAGAAATTTCCAAACTTCTGTAATGGAGTCAGTGATCGCTGGGAGCCCAAGTAGGATCAATGAGGCAGAATAACTGTACCTGTGATAACGGTTAGTTTTTTACCCAGTGAAGCAGATCTGTGACTTTTTAAGGGCTAGACACTGCCATACTTGGGGTATGTCTACACTACAAAAGGTACAGCAGCATAGCTGATCTCTAAGGCTGAAATTTGACCCCTAATCCAAATGTGACCTCAGAGGGAATGTCTACACAACAACACGATACCTGTAGCTGGCCTCAGTCTGTGGGGCTCTTTCACTGCTGTGTAGATGTCTGGGCTGAGGCTGCAGCCTGGGCTCTAGGTCTCTGAGGTGGGACGGTCCCAAAGCTTGGGCTGCTGCCAGAATCCAGAAGTCTACACAGCAATGAAACCATCACAGCCGGAACCCCACAAGCCTGAGTCAGCTGCCATGGGCCAGCTTTTCTTTTTTTATGGTGTAGACAAACTCAGAGCATCTGCAATCTTATTTTAGTATTAAAAATTATAAAAACCACCATATGAGCAGGTAAAACACAGCACCCCTTGAGCAGAGCTAAGGGCCTTTTGTTTTAAGTCTTCATGATAAGGGGACCAGCTGCCCAAATCATGAAACTTTATCCCTGAATAAGTCAAAACAGAGATTTGTTCTACAGGGTGGCCTTCTATCTGCCACTCAATTTGCACAGGGTTCTAACCAGAAGTCATAACTTGATCACATTACAGGACCAGGTCATGTAAGTTAAACTAAGAGGGAAAAGTCATTTCAGAAGAGGCCTCTTAGAGTTTGCGATAAATCTACCATTAATATATGTTGGATAAAATGTATTGTTCTTTATAACATCCACTGTATCATTAATATATATATTTATAACAAAAGGTGCTAGAAGGCATCCCTGGTGTTCTCCCCAAGCAACTAGGAAAACATTTCTGACCCACATCTCTCTCATGGAGAGCCTCCAAAATGTTCAGAAGTCTTAGATCGATACCCATCCTTCTTAATTTTGCCCAAAGTTGGTCTAGATTAATAGAATCAAACACCATCTTTAAAACTCTAATAGTAGCATACAGTTTGTACCTTAACCACAGTATATTTATAAATCACATCGGAGAAAATTAAGCCATTATCAATTGTGGCTCTATCAGCCACCTACCTGTAAGCCTATTGCTGTTTTTGTCTAACTTCTCTGTGCCTATAGCAAGAACATAGCAGGGACATAATAGGCGAGACGTGGCAGTCAGGGTGATGTGCCCGCTCCTTGTTTCCCGCCTCGGTAGAGAACTTTTTTTAAAGGATTTTTAACCTCTTTGTAATGCGTTTTGATGCATGAAATTAGGAAATTTCCCTAAATACAAGTAAAATATTGATTAAATATTGTACAAAACAAATACAGAAATACACACGCTCTACTGTCAATGCTTCCAAAGTACAGCTGCATACTGAAATTCTTCTCTGAAAAAGGACTCATTTAAATTAATCTGGAGGCTTTCCATTTTTTCAGAGGGCTTTCGATCAGGCAGTAGATGTTTGCTTGCTGTAAATATTCATATTCTAACTTCAAGGCAGGAATTTGGCTATTGTGTTTCCCTGAAATTCTCTGGGAATGTTTATGATGCTTTACAAATTAAATGATTATAAACAGATTGCAGCACAAACTTAGTAAATGTGAAATGCTTCAAAAAAGATTTCAACAGATCAGCATTTCACAATCCCCAGCAGTCCATAAATAGAGGCTCTCCATCTCCTCCCTATCTTGGAGTCACTTCTCAACAGCGACATTCAGTTCCCAGCCAAACTTCAGCCATGAAGATTCTCTACCTTCTCTTTGCTCTCTTCTTCCTGGTGCTGCAAAGCTCTGCAGGTAAGATCTTAATGAAATGAAGGGAGAATATAGAAGGACATTTGTGAGTTTGTACTAAGGTTTCCTAAAACTTTGTATCATAATTTTTCCAGCTTTTTTTTCTAAAGAGTTGTATGGTTTTCAGCAGAGACTTGACATTTGACTGAAGAATAGTCCTGGGGTGAGAAAGGTGCCTTTAATGTTCCTATTAAGATCCAGTCAGATTTGGCTGAACTATGACCTGTAATACTATCACCAACGTTCCACTTAGTGGAGTCCCACAGGGATTGGTTCTTGCCACCACATTAGTCAATCTTGTTACAAAGGACCTGAAAAAACTCATAAAATCATCACCTATAAAGTTAGCAGGTGACAAAATTAAGGGACATGTCACTCATACAGAGGAATTTGGATCACTTGGTAAGATGGCAACACACATACAGCTAAATCTAAATGTATGGCTCTAGGAAGAAAGAAGGTTGGCCACAGATATAGGATGAGGGACTCCATCCTGGGAAGCAGTGACTCTGAAAAAAGATTTTGGGGTCTTGGAATGGTAATCAGCTGAAAATTGTTAAAAGGGTTAATACATAACTTGGATGCAGAAAGAAGGAAATATTGAGTAGGCGTAGTGAGATTATTTTACCTTTGTATTTTGTACCACCAGATGTGACCACATCTTGAAAACTTTCCAATGTATTCTCCATCCCTGACAGTTTTTAAATCAAGAAGGATTGAGTTTTTTTCCCCCCTCTGAGAAATATTTTGGGGAAGTCCCTTCAGACTAGATGATCACAAAGGTACTTCAGTACCAGGCAAATTGATTGAAATTATAGTAAAGAACAGAATTATCAGACACATAGATGAATACAATGAGTTGGGGAAGAGTCAACATGGATTTTGCAAAGGGAAATCATGCCTAAAATGGTAGGAATAAATGGTCAGTTTTAAGACTAGAGAGAGATAAATAGTGGTGTCCCCCAGGGGTCTGTACTGGGACCAGTACTGTTCAAAATATTAACAGGTGATCTGGAGAAAGGGGTAAACAGTGAGGGGGCAAATTTTGTAGATGATACACAATTATTCAAAAATAGTGAAGTCCAAAGCACAGTGCAAAGAGTTAAAAGGAATCTCAAAAAACTAGGTGACTGGGCAACAAAATGGCAGATGAAATTCAATGTTGATAAATGCAAAGTAATGCTCTTTGGAAAACATAATCTGAAGTATACGTCTAAAAAGATTGGGTCTAAATTAGCTCTTACCACTCAAGAAAGTTTTTGAAGTCATTGTGGATAGTTCTCTGAAACCATCTGCTCAACGCACAGCGGCACTCAAAACAACTAACAGAATGTTAGCAACCTTTAGGGAAGGGATAGATAATAAGACAGAAAATATCATGATGTCTCTCTATAAACCCATGATCTTCCCACATCTTGAGTACTGTGTGCAGATCTGGTCACCCCATCTCCAAAAAGATATTAGTATTGGAAAAGTTACAGAGAATCACAACTAAAATGATTAGGGGTCTGAAACAGATTCCATATGAGAAGAGATTAAAAAAACTGGAAATTTTCAGTTTGTGTCCTCTTCCTCTGGGACAACTGTAGAGGAGCAGACTCAGCCCTGCGGCGCCTCCTGCTGGTCATCCAGGGAATTAGCTCTCCAGCCTCTGGAGTGCCCTCTGCAGGCCAGTGATCCACCTGTCTTCTGCACTGGCCCCCATGTCCCTCTCAGGACCCCAGTGCCTTTGCTCTGGGTGCTGCCCCCTGGCAGTACCCACATGCTTGGTCTCCCCTCCCAGGGGAACCCCCACCCAGTATCCCCACCTTGCCTCAGCACTAGGCCACTGCCAGTCACCACTAGCCCCCGCTCCCTGGGGCAGACTACAGTATAGGCCACTCATCAGCCCAGCTTTAGAGCTGCAGCCCTCTGCAGGGCTGTTTTAAGCCCTTCCAGGCAGGAGCGGGGTAAGCACCCCACTACACAAACCCAATGAAAATACCTGTGAAGGACTCCCATGCTCAGTGCTACTGTTCTGAAGCGTGCAGCTAGGAAGCCAGTAGATCTCCTGAATTAAATCACTCTGCTCAATTCTTAGGGGCAGCAGTTGAATGGGCACAGAACTACCAACATTTATATATTATCAAAGATCCAGTGAAAGGGGGCACAGGAAGATGACTGGATTGACGTGGCCTTGTCCCAGTGAACTGGAAATTCAGCTAATGGGAAATGCCCGTCATGCTACAATCACAGCCCTTGTTTAAATTTATGTGTGAATGAAAATCAAGACTCTTTTTCTCTGTGCAGGATTCACCCAGTATATCTATGGCCCCGCTGCTTGTAGACGTGCTCGGGGCACCTGCTTCCGTTTTTGTGTCGGCAAATACAGACTGATTGGAACCTGCGGTCAAGGGCAGAATTGCTGTAAAAGAAGGGTAAGTTCAGGATGCCACAACGGAGACATTTTGTGTAAACAGAATATTTGTGTCTCTCCTTTCTATAGCTGCTGTTTAATGGCCTTGGAGGCTCAGAGCACTCGGCACAACCCTGGGACGAGGGACAAAGAAAATGTTTGTGCTGCCCTGATTCTGGACTATCTGGGGTTTCCATGTTAGAGTGAGAGTAATGGTATAGCTGCTTTACTCAGGCTGCCTATGGTCTGTCCACAACCCAGAGCAGCCCAGAGTCTCCACAGTGCTCAGTGCTCCATGTGAGCCATGTATTGCTCATGTATTGCAGTTACTCTCTCCATCCCGTTTTAAAGCCCCTCTGGCTTGTCAACATGGCATCATACAGACAGTGTCTGTGGCCAGTCTGTGGCGTGCGTCTACATTGTTGTTTCATTTAAGAATATGGAAAACAACGGGGAAGGACTAAAGTATATTTCCCAGGAGAGCATTTGGGGGATTTATCTCCTTTGAATCATTGTGCAACACCTATGAGATCAAAACATTAATGCTTAGTTTACCAAAAAGAAATGTGTACAAGTATGGAGCTATGTTTAAGGGTGTGTGTGTCATATCCCAGTATAAAATGATCAAATCTGTCACAGAAAAATTAGAATAACTAACAACACAGCTTCTGATGATACTTTTAAGCCTTTCAGAAATGTGATGTCACCCTTCTAGTCACTGACAGAAGGATCCTATTTTCAATAACTACCCGAGGACACATTCAAGCATGGAATTTTCTTGGTAGCACTCAGCATAATGACAGCTGCCAGTCTGATTCCATTATAACCCCTTCTCCTCACATACTCGTCCTTGTCTGGAAAGGTCTCCTTTCTGGGTATCATTTCTGCATTTGAAAGGCCTGCTGTCCTCCTACTGAGGGGAGTTGGTAGGACCTGTTGTGAGTCTCTCTGGCAAGAAAGAGAGCAGGGAGGCTCAGTTGACAAAAAGTAATGGCTTAAAGATGAAGCCTGCAAAAGCAAACGGAAAGGAGCTTAGAGACGAGTTGAGCAGAGGAGAATTTGGGAGCCCTACGTGAAAGCAGCTGAGGTCACTCAGCCCCTGAGGAAGCATCTCCAGCCCAGAGAGTTTTGTGTTTTTCTTTTAAATGTTATTTTGCCCCAGCTGGGGGAGGCTTTGGTTCAGTGGGGGGGCGGGGGGAGGGTTAAACCACCAACCCAACAGGAGAAACGGAGGCACTGGCCAAGTCTGACAATGAGAAGGTAAGCTGCACCCACACAGTGTGGATATAACCATGATTTTCCCATAGAAAAAAAAGGTATTTTTAAATCATTCCACTCAAAAATGGAAGAACAACGAAACTCAATTTGTGGCCTGGACCTCACTGCAGAGTCCCTCCAGAATGACACAGTGTGAAAAAGTGGAAATGAAAACAGTTTTGAACATGTGAGGATTTCAGATAAACAGGTCCTGTGCAGGATTCTTGGAGCTGTGTTAAAAACATCTGGGTCCAGATGCTGCAAACATGAGGAGCCGTGTTGAGCATAATGTTGCCCCTGTGTGTTTTTGTGGGATAGAGGCGATTTTGAGCACACGTGTGAAGGCTGCCGTGCCTTCTGGGACCAGGATTCTGTGGTTTGAACCAGAGTCCTCCAGAGTTAAATGCTCAAGTGCCTTCAGGTTGAAGACCAGGCCTAAAGTACCATAGAGGCAGTTTTGGGATAGGAGATGTGAAGATAGGAGCTCCGTGATAGCAACTGCACTGCTACTTAACTGGCCGCTTCACTGAGTATGTACAGAGATTTTAATCAGGTAAGGAAATGCAATGTGAATAGGGTCAGGATTTAGGCTTACATGAGCTGGAAGACAGAATAGTCCATTCATTCTTTAAAAATAACTTATTTATCCTCTAATTAAATATTTATTGTTTTAGTTTTAGCTATGGACAAAAGTGTGTTTGAAAGGAAAACTGATCATGGACATGAGACATGTTGTTCTACATCTTACATATGTGTCGTTTTATTTTTTTTCTATATATCATAGAGATAGTCAGTATTTTTAAAATTCACAATTCGGATTAATTCCCTCAATGGAATTTCAAATTTCACCTTTTTTTTTTTAGGGGCAAAGGGAGGGAAGATCCATGTTTAGAAGTCCTGCATATTTACTTCAGAAGCCAGATGGGCAGACAGTACAAGTTTAGATAGATTAAATAGATTGAGTTTGTTCTATAGCCTTAGGTAAGAGCGGGTTGTCTTTTAGCTCATGTAGTAGAGGCTCATGCATTAAGCTCCTGAGGCCCCAGGTTCGATCCTGCCCTACGACGATTAAGGTGTATTGGTGTTACATCTGCACACACTATTAAATGATGGGGAAATTCCCGGTCTATCTTGAATTTGAAATGTAATGTTATATTGTCCTTGCTTTAATGGCTATAAACAAAGAATGTGAGATTTCTTCCCTTTTTGCAGTAAAGAGAGTGAGTGATGGCAGCAGAGATTGTCAATGCAGGATCTCTCGGAATCTGGCAGACGACGCCTTGCTTCTAAAATCCTTGGATGCTTTTCATCTGGGCTGCAAAGTTTCTTGCAAGCTGGAATAAACCCACAAGGGAGCCCTTGTCGCCCCCCCCCCCCCCCCCCCGCCAATAGCTTGTTCTTCTCCTTTTAATAAAAGTAGCTGCTGGTTGTGGTGTATTGCAAACATGAATGTGAGTGTTTTGATTGGCACACGGGGGCTGTTTTGCTATTTCTTTTCCATAAAAATCCCTTCCTTCTTTTATTTTAATTAAATATATATAAAATAAATGCTCACTGCCATATTTAAATCCACCCAGGGGTGTTCCTAGACCAGGGGACATACAATTTATATGTTTCAGTGAGCTCACGTGGATAAATCGTGGACCTTTTCCTTGGTCCTTTGACAAAGCCGTTTGTTTTGTGTTGTTGTCAGAGGAGTTGGGTTCAGTCCCAGCGTGGCTGCACAGTGTGTAATGCCCACATCACTGCTCCACGGCCTGTCGACCCTCTCTCTGCTCCCCTCGACTCTCAGACCTCCCCATCATGAGGTCCCTTCTCTTGTGCCTGAGTGTCCAGACCTTGCCCTGTGCAGCTGGCTCCCATGCAGGAGCCAGAATGGCAGTGCAAATCCCAAAGACCCAGGCTTAGAAACCTGAGCAAATTTGCAAGTGAGGGTGTAACTGAGGCCTTTTCAGAATGTGTTTTCGCTCTCAGGTTCCCAGTTTTAATCAGGGAATAGAGATGGGCACATTCCTGGTTGGGGGACAGGCCACAGGCAAAGCAGGTGTAACCCTGTTCAAACACCTCACGATTGACGAACAGAGAACAATCTTTCATGTGTTTACCAGCTGTCTGTGTGTACCAGATTCGTGTCCAAGCTCAACAATTCCCACCCCCAAAGTGTGGTTGCAGAACTTATCTCTTATCTCTTCACCATCCACATATAAAGCCACAAAACTAATATCACAGTGTTAAAAGTGAAAGGGGTTTTAAAAGTAATTTCCACTAAAGGTATCATTATCCACAAAACCAAGGGCAAGCGATTTGGGTAACTGCCCCAAGAACAGGTTCTCCTGGTTACTGACTCTGCTGCCTGTGGGGTTACTAAACACTTTCCCGTCACAGAGTCCAGGTGGCATTTAGAATCACAGAATCCAATGACTGAAAGGGACCTCAAGAGGTCACTTAGTCCAGTCCCCTGCACTTATGGGAGGACGGAGTATTATCTGGACCATCCCTGACAGTTGCTTGTCTAACCTGTTCTTATAAATTTCCAATGATGGAGATTCCACAAACTCCCTAGGCCAGTGTTTCTTAAACTGGGGTCAGCAGATGCCTGGGGGTCCCCATGTGTACTCCAAGGGGTCTGCGTGCCCCGCTGATCAGATCCTCCCCCTCCCTCTATTTCCTGGAGGCTACTGAAGCCAAATTGGGAGATTTTAGGTGCTAAAAGTCCGGCGGCGCAGTGGGTCTAAGGCAGGCTCCCTGCTTGCCCTGTCTCCGCGTCACTCCCAGAGGTGGCCGGAACATCCCTGCGGCCCCGGGGGGCGGGGGGGGGGGACAGGTGGTCTCCGTGTGTCACAACCCCCCGAGCATCGACTTTGCAGCTCCCATTGGCTGGGAACTGTGGCCAATGGGAGCTGCGGGGGTGGTGCCTGCAGGCAGCGGCAGTGTACGGAGACCACCTGTTCCCCACCTCTCCCCCAGAAGCCGCTTCCAGAGAGATGTGCCGGTCACTTTGTGGACTCGCCTGAGGTAAGCGCTGCCTGGCCAGCACCCACACCCCCTCCCACACCACAACCCCCTACCCCAGCCCTGAGCCACAGCCTGCACCCAAACTTCCTCCCATAGCCCACACCCCTCATCCCTTCCTGCACCCAAACTCCCTACCAGAGTCTGCACCCACATCCTACACCCAAACTCCCTCCCAGAGACTGCACCCACATCCCTCACCCAAATTCCCTCACAGAGCCTGCACCCCACACCCTCTCCTGCATCCCAACCCGCTGCCTCAGCCTGGTGAAAGTGAATGGGGGTGGGGGAGAGTGAGTGATGGGGGGAGGGCGGATGGAGTGAGCAGGGGCAGGAAGAGGTGAGGTGGTGGTGCCCTGGGGGAAGGGGTAGAATGGGGTAGAGCCTGGAGTGGAACAGCGGGGTTTGGGGATCCCAGAAAAATATTAAATCAAAATAGTGGTCCTCGGGTTGCAAAAGTTTCAGAACCGCTGCCCTAGGCAATTTATTCCAGTGCTTACCTACCCTGACAGTTAGGAAGTTTTTCCTAATGTCCAACCTAAACCTCCCTTGCTGCAATTTAACCCCATTGCTTCTTCTCCTAGTCTGAGAGGTTACAGAGAACAAATTTTCTCCCGCTTCCTTGTAACAATCTTTTATGGACTTGAAAACTGTTATGTCCCCTCTCAGTCTTCTCTTCTCGAGACTAAACAAACCCAGTTCTTTCTAATCTTTCCTCATAGGTCATGTTTTCTAGACCTTTGATCATTTTTGTTGCTTTTCTGCAATTTGTCCACATCTTTCCTGAAATGTCCACTTCTTTCCCAGAACTGGACAGAATACTCCAGTTGAGGCCTAATCAGCGTGGAGTACAGTGGAGGAATTACTTCTTGTGTCTTGCTTAGAGCACTCCTGCTAATACATCCAAGAATGATGACTTTTCAACAGTGTTACACTATTGACTCATTGGTTGTGATCCACTGTGACTCCCAGACCCCTTTCTGCAGTACTCCTTCCTAGGCAGTCATTTCCCATTTTATATGTGTGCAACTGATTGTTCCTTCCAAAGTGGAGTATTTTGCATTTGTCCTTGTTAAATTTCCTCCTATTTACTCCAGACCATTTCTCCAGTTTGTCCACATCATTTTGAATTTTAATTCTATCCTCCAAAGTACTTGCAACCCCTAGCAGCTTGGTATTGTTTGCAAACTTTATAATATACTCTCTATGCTATTATCTAAATCATTGATGATGATATTGAACAGAACCAGACCCAGAACTGATCCCTGTGGGACCCCATTTGATATGTCCTTCCAGCTTGACTGTGAAACACTGCTAACTACTCTCTGGGAACAATTTTCTAACCAGTTATGCACCCACCTTATAGTAGCTCCATGTCGGTTGTATTTCTCTAGTTTGCTTATGAGAAGGTCATGCAAGACAGTATCAAAAGCCTTACTAAAGTCATATCTATCACTTCCTCCCTATCCACAAGACTTGTTACCCTGTTAGCTGTTAGATTGGTTTGACATGATTTTTTCTTGACAAATCCGTGCTGTTATTTATCACCTTATTATCTTCTAGGTTTTGTAAATTGATTGCTTAATTATTTGCTCCACCATCTTTCTGGGTACTGAAGTTAAGCTGACTGGTCTGTAACTCCTCAGTTTGTCCTTATTTCCCTTTTTATAGATAGGCACTATATTTGCCCTTTCCCAATCCTCTAGAATCTCTCCTGTCTTCCATGACTTTTTGAAGGTAATCGCTAATGGCTCAGGTATCTCCTCAGTCATCTCTTTGACTATTCTAGGATGTATTTCTTCAGGCCCTGGTGACTTGAAGGCATCTAATTTCTCTAAGCAATTTTTAACTTGTTCTTTCCCTCTTTCAGCCTCTGATCCTCCCTCATTTTCATTGGCATTCACTATCTTAGACGTCCAATAGCTACTAACCTTTTTGGTGAAAACCGAAACAAAAGGGTCATTAACACTTCTGCCATTTCCACATTTTCTGTTTTTGGCATAGCATTAGCACTAAGCAGGCCTCCACCTGATCCAGACAGTGCCAGGGCCACCTGTACTTTCTTTATAAAATGTGCTACTGATATAATCAACAGTTTATAAACTTTGATTACATCGCCTATTAAGCAGAAGGCATCATCACGGTGTGTCAGTTTTATTTTCACTTCCATACGGTTCAAGATTTCTTGAAAAGAATAGGTCGCTATGTAGATGACCCAGCAGATGTATCTTCCAGTTCTGGGTCATCTGCTTTTGCCTGTCTCATAAACACTTTATTATCACCATCCAGCTTCATTGCTTCATCTTATCCAGGAATGTCTTTGTATAACAGGCCAGCAGAAAACATGGAAAAGTCCCCCACAAACAGTTCTACAGAATCTGTGTATAGACATGAGAATTTGAAACACGCTCCCCCACATCCTCCCACCCATAATGTTTGCTGAGAAGTTCATTTTTTGACAGCGGAATTGGGGACCAAACCG